ACAGTCCCACCCTGTATAAATATGAGAAACATGAGGTTGGTCTTCACCAAACAGACGTGTGGAAACAAGTCATGCCATGATCTAAGGACTTTCTGAGGACCTCAGAATAGGTCTTGATGTTCTTTCTGGAAAGAGATACAAAACTATTTCTATTGACTTGGGGCTCCACCACTCCATTGCCATACAGATGTCTGCAAATGGAGAGTGTCTTGTGGTTCAAGAACATTGTCACCCCACCAAGGAAACCTCACTGTGATGATGGGATGAGAGTGGAGGTTTGTGAGTTTAATATAGACCAGGGCTGGCCCAAATCAGTCCTGATTGCTTAATAACGTATTCACACAGCTGGGCCTAGTTATCCTTTCAATTGAATTGATTGAACTTGGGGGTGTTCACTTTTTCACCAAGGGTGAGGTTGTTGACTTTGTTGAGGTTGTTGAAGTTGAAGGCTGGATTTGTTGGATTTTGTTTAGGAGATTAATTTAACAAGCAACAATGTTTGGTGTTCTTTGCTCACTTAGACTCCCTTTATACATCACTAGAATCCACATGAAGGTCTGCTATTACGCAAAGTACTGTATGCACAAGTTCAAAAGCACTTTTTCATGGAACTGCAGAGGATCCACAAGGCTTCTGGAGCAATGTTCTCTAGACAGACCAGTCAAAGGTAGAACTCTTTGTCCTCAAAGAGAAACAGTTGGCAAAAACCAAACACTGCTTTCAAGCAGAAGAACCTCATTCCAACTGTCAAGCCTGGTGGTGGGAGTGTGATAGTCTGGGGTCGTTTTGCTGCCATTGTTGACACAGCCATGATACTGCATTGCATCAGAAGACTCTAGAGGAGAATGGCAGGCCATCAGTCTGTGACCTGAAGCTGAATCAAACAAGGGTCCTGCAGCAAAACAATGATGTCAAACATGCCAGCAGATCTACAAATGAATGGCTGCAGAAGAAGAAATTCCCCCTTCTATAGTGGCCTAGTCAAAGTCCAGCCCTCAATCATCACGAGGTTGAAGGCTTTTTTGGGAGGAATATTCCAAAATTCCTGAAAACCAGTGTGAGAGACCGATCAATGGCTAAAGGAAACAAGATTCTTTGCCGTCACTGCTGCTCAAGGGGGAGCCACTATTGCTGAATCTAAATGTTGACATTCAGTGGATATAAAAAGTCTACACACCCTTATTGAAATTGCAGGTTTTTGTGATGTAAAGCCAGAAATCAAGATTTTTCCATCTTAATGTGATCTTGCAACCAACCAAATTCCAGAGAAAAACAAATCGATAATTATTAGGAAAAATAATTGAAATTAAAAAACCTACAACAACCTGGTTGCATTTGTAAAAAACAATGATATATATATATAAATCAATAGAACGACATCTTTTGCAAATGCTTAAAAGACATTGCATCTTCCACAAAGCAGGCCAGTTTCGTTTTGCTGAAACGATACTGTGTCAGCAGAGTTATTTGGAGAGTTCCATCTTAAAACCAGAAATGCCCTGACATTCACTAATTATCAGAAATGCCTTTTCTCAGAACTGCAGATGATCCACAAGTCTCCGGGGTCAAAGTTCTCTGCACAGAGAATAAAGATTTTAGAAGAAATATCAGAATGGGCGTATATCCAGTCTACTTAGAATTATTTTCTCTTTGGTTTAACATAACTAGACACAGTAATCTGTTTTTTTTAAAGACATGCAGGTCAGTGTGGTGCTTTAGAACTGTGGTCTATACTAAATTGTGAGAAATATTTCTTTGATTCCAAGATTAGAAGAAACAACATGTGAATTTTAAAGGGTTGCTGCTGAACCCATGAGGTTGAGTTAAAGACATCCTGTGGTCTGGACTTCCCCCGGGCACAGCATCACACTTTTTCTAAGACAATGGTGCTTGTTCAGTAATTAACGTCTCAACCACAAGCCCTCTTCTATAGCACATCTTTAGATGTTCATAAGGAGAGCTCTTAGGTTCTGGGTTCAGGTCTGGTCTTGGATTCCTGTCTGTGTGGAGTTTGCATGTTCTCCCCTGGCTCACCCAGATTTTCTCTGGGACCCCCACCTCCAAAAAGACATGCAGATTAGATTTGATCGCTACTCTGAACTTTTCTGGTTGGTGTTTTCACACTTGGAGGACTTGTTCCCAGTATCTTAGTGGCCTCCTCTCACTTGTACCCTAACCCATGATCTGATCCGGCCACAGAAGTCTGAAATCTGAATTCTGCACCAACTGCTTCTCACATCTCTTAGAGATGCTTCTGCTACCCATCTGGACAAGTGCTCAAGCAAATCTGAATTTAATTTAAGTATGTACTAAACGGAACAATTTAGTGTCTCATTCTTTCCAGTGAAGGGTGGCAGCATTGTCGCCTGCAACCGTTCATTATCAACAAACCAAATATGTGAGCAATACTGCTACCTTGGGGTCTCTGGGAGGAATGTACTGTTTACCAAGAGATCCACATGGCTGTTCTTCACTCTCTGTCTGAATATCTTTGACAAATACAGTATTACTAAATGCACGTTGTTGTTATTTTTATTCTACAATATTATTATTTTTATGTAAGGTTTTAAGTTGTTTACATCAAATCAAACATGCATTTCATAATTGTCTTTTACTGAATAGTCATTTATCCCTTGCTACAACTAAACTGAGGTTTTGCCAGTTAAATACACTCGCACCTTTTTTTGACACACCAGACACAAGACATTAAACACCAAATATAAAACCATCAGACATTAAAGCCCCAGATTCACACACATTTTACATTTTGTTTCACAAGGTTTTCATTTACAGTAATTGAAATGTATTAATGATTTCCAGTGTGATTCATAAATTTGGTCATTTCTTCCTTAGCAAATGAATCTATATGTTTTTATGTTTATATAGTAACTTTTAGCTATAGATTCTTTAAGTGGCTCTTCCCCTAATTCATGTTCAACAGTATTGTATATTTTGTCTTATATGTTCACAATTTACACAGAACTCCTACCTGATTACCATATTCTTGCTTACAGTATTTTGCATAATGTCTAGAGAGTACACAAATATAGTCATTCAAGTATTCCTATCAATGTTAGTTTCCCTTTTGTAATTCTTTCCATCTTGTAACACTACGTGTCCACACATAACATATACAGTACATTGTCTACACATATATACACCATTTATGTTATATTTGAAGGATTTAAGTTCTCTATATTATGCATTTAAAACTTTCCTCCTGCCTTCCAGATATAATATATTATTGCATGCAGCAATTTTAAAAGCTGTTCATGTTCCGTGCACTTCTTTTAACTTTGCTTAAATCTTTGGATGTAAAGCATTAACAGCACTATTCCACCCATCTATGGGAGTCTGACTATAATATGCTTTTAATTCATCTTCCTTTCCCCAGGATACAGTCGAGGATTACCAAGGTCTTATATTGCTTAACTCCTTTTCTCCTAGAATGGGACATGCCTGCAGTCCTAATGCCTTACTCATTATACTTCCTCCATTCATCTATTTCAAATAATAGACATAATCACATTACCTACTTCCATTTACTAACATGGAAATGTAAAATAATAGACAGTAGATGATTACTTTCATATGCATAATGTGTTAGGAATTAGTAGTGAGGACCCTATGGAGAAGACCAGGGCTATCTCCAGAGGTGTAGTCGATAGAACAACCCGAGGTCCGAAAGCCGAAAGTAGACAAGCCGGCGCAGAAGTGCAAAGTGAGGAAGGCGAGAGTCGAAACCAGAACGAGAATCAAAGTACCAAAACCAAAACCAGGAGACGTAATCGAAAAAACAAACCAGGATCAGGGAGCCAAAAACGAAGTCGTAAGTAATCGCGAGAATCGAAGTGGCTCTAGCCAGGAAGAACCCTAATAGTGAGCCCAGGGGAGAGTGTGAAGCAGCATTAAATAGACAGGGGTAAATGGGCTAATTGGGAACAGTGCTGGAATGCGAGGTGGAATGACGAATCCTCTGGGGGCGTGGCATAACATAATCTTGTATATAGTCTTTGCAAATTCTCAACATCTTCTCTTACTGCCTCAACTAATGACTCTATTTCTGTTTCATTTCACATGCTACTGTATGTGTTCTTCTGGCTTGTCAGCTGCGCTCCTGATCTCCCCTGCTCATTATTACATGCCGTAAACTCAGACTGACTAGCGTTCTTTCAGTTTTCCTCCATTCTTTTTTTAATGACTAGATTTTTCTTCTAATAAATACATTGTTACTCTACCTGTATCTCTGATGTTATTTTATCAGTTTTTAACATTATTCTTTCACACATGCCTTTTATGTGATAGCAGATATCAATTGCATATTATATTAGCACATTATTACGAGTTTTCTGTTTCTTTTTTAATTCTTCTTACCCTATTTCCTCTCTTTAACAAAGGTTGTTTCCTACTTATACAATACTATTTCAGATCTACCAGCTACTTTCCATTTTTTTAAAAAAGGTCTTATAGATTTTTCCTTTCTTGGAAGGAACAGACATTTTCTTTCTCAGTGTCGATGCTTCTTTTTCAGGGCTGTTGTTCCATTGAACAGGCTATTTGCCCTAAGCTTTGTTTGGCCCACATTCTTACGAAAGGCTCTTTTTCACTGTTTCACGGTCTCCTTGGCAAAGACAGTCTTTCTACAGTCTGTAGCTTACTTTTCTAACTTTGTGACGAAAAAGGCCGGAGAACACTAGGAGAAGACACACACAAAGTGCATCCCCCACAGTGTCCCAAATCCCTACACTATTACAGACGGTTTCATAGTCCACTTCTAGCCATGGTCACCCTATGGTATTACCATGAATAGGCATTTATGAGAAAGAAAGCAGAATATCATTGGAAGGGGGCGTGAATATTTCTTCAAGGCACTGAAACATAGATAAAAGAGACACAAGGAGAACTAAAGCAGCCCTTTCCTTATGAAGGACTTTAAGCCACATTTAATTTTGTGAATGACAGAATTAATTCGGCAACAATATTTCAACACAAAACAGCAGTAAGATTTGCAGACTCTTTATTAATGATACTAGTTCCAAAAGAATAAACACACAGGGACTGAAACAACCTTATTAAAAGCATTGCAAAATGCTAGAATTCTCTGCTGTGGTACTGAAAATGCTCTGATGTTTGTACATGTGAGATTAATATGATATAGACATCCTGGCTTTGGCTGTTCAAATTAATTCTCAGCTTAATCTGAACAATTTACATTAAAATGAATTTGCAGATCAGATTAAAACCGTTTCTGTACTATACCATACTAAAGGACACAAATGTAAGTCACTTCATATCAAATCATGGGCTGAATGAATAATAACTATCCTGCTGATGGAATCAGCCCCTTCCCTCCCCCGAAACACAGCGGGCCATAACCCATGGTCAAAAAGAAACAATTTAAGAGATGATAATGAACTCTTCCACACAGAATGAGTAGAATGACAGCACTCTCCATTTGACTGAAACATTAGTTCTTGTTGAAAGTGCACTTGAACCCTGAACTTGCAAAAAAGAGATATTGGAAATGCAAGAAAAGAAGAAGTTGAAAATGACATTCAGTCCGTATCACAGACACCAGGAATTCCAGAATCATAGGGGCTCTGAAGGGTCAGGTTCTTTCTGCAAGAGGACAGAGAGGGAAGAATGAATAAAGTACAGAAACGTACTGATTGCAAAATAAAGTACATGAGCACTGCACTGAGAGAGGGGTTAATACAGTACAGACACACTGACTGGACACTCCAGTACATTAACACTGTACTGAGAGAGAGGGGTTAATACAGTACAGACACAC